ATGGCTGGTGGCTCAGCCGTCTCTTCAGGCGTTATCGAGACTTGGAAGATAGCACTTGAAACCATGAACAAGCTTGTTTCAGGTGAGCCTCAGGCAGTTCAGAATGGTGCCGCCCTCTTGGGTCTATCAGCTTGGCATCTGTATCCAGACATGAGTATACACAAGTCTGTGCCCATCGAGATTAAAATGGAAGATCCATGCGTCACCAGAGGGGGAACATTGTCACTGGGTGTATCGAGACGGCTGATTTCGTCCAATGAAGAGGGTGGTGTACGCTGGTCTTTATCGCTATCTCATTTACGCCACTATGGACGACCGGTCGATGTTACAAGGGGTCTAGAAGCTGATGCAAGATTGACATGGTCCCAATTCAAGCTTGTTGTCTTCGCGGCCTTGCTCGAACGATGGAGATTACAAGGAACGCCTGATGAAACAATTGCTCGGTTTTTTGCATCCTTGCCTCAGCATTCAGACGCTCATCCATATCTGAGTAAGAGCGATGTGAATATGTTCAAATTCCTCAAGGATGGCGCGGCTGCTTACATTAAACGCGATATTGAGGCTGAGAGTTTGGACCATAAATTGATACAGCTAGGCCGCAGAAGAGCTCACCAGTTTATTCCCGGTCGTCAAACCATCGATGCGCAATGGAATCCATTGATCTATTTATTCGATTCGACAAGATCCTTTTCAGCTCTCAAGGACACTGAGTCGGCAATTTCTTATCTCCGGTACGCAGCAAGACGTCTCAGCCACAAGAACACGCCCCCGGACGCCTTTATCATACGGCAAAAGCTCCTAGACCCTGAAAGAAGTGATGTTTCCTCTTGCCGGCTGCCTTCCTCACTGTGCTCAAAATGTATGGTGGTGACAGCGTTACCACCTGAGCTTCAGGAAGGTACTGGTAATGCAACTCATCACAGATGGCTGCCTGCAGATGCCCAGGATATTAACGTTCCAAGGAACGAGACTCGGACCTTTGATGTTACCGAGAAGTTCAAATGCTCAGAAAATGGCCCGCAGATCACCGCGCCCCATGGTCCTGCCAAGTACATTTACCGTCCCATTTTGACTGTCTCAGAGACAACAGCTTTATATTCTCGCGTTCTTTCTGAAGACTCGGGTTCGGTCAACTATATACCTACTATTGAAGATTGGAATTGGTGTTTGGATCATGGCCTCGTCCTCCCTGATGTGGTTTTGAAGGCGTTGAATCACGGTTCTACGATTGGACAATCTAGTATCGAGCCGACGCTACGCACTATTGCTGCTGTTGCCTCTGTTTACGACAATATTCCCAACGCAACCATTCATACCGGCGTTCTTATGCGCTCCTTGAAAGACACATCTTGGGGCATGAACGTTGTATCTGGCAATTTGGAGCATGAAGATATGGTCTCGATGATATCGTACTTGGAGACTGGGATTCACGATATTAACCCCAGGGTTCTCAAGGGCGTGATAGCGTTTTCGTATACAGACTCTATCTTTGTCTCTAGTGCTGTAAGTTATTTCCTATGGTCGAAAAAAATTCGCTAAGGTTCCAGTTGATCCAAAATCCATACGAGACTCTACTGCCTGAACAAACTCCTCACTTCCAGAGAATTCTTGGAAACATTGGCAAACCAGGACTCAACTTTCTCCTACCTACACAGCGACCTATAATGCGAGAGATTGATGCCGGAAGTTGGAGAATTGACTCCTATGGTAATTTTGACGGTACTACCTCTCATTCATTCGAAAACACGTCTATGCATCTGTCATTTACCGATTACCGTATCCCTCACTTCGATGGACTGCGAGGAGCATATGACAGTCAGATATATTTCCTCGAGTCTGTAATATCCGTTCAAGATAACGGCGAATGGGTTGCTGATGTAGACCCCTCGCCTCTGATTAAGTGTGAGAGATACGAGGAAGTTTCAACAGATGATGACAATGTAACAGAACATATATTCGATGAGGGAGATTCCACAGATACCGATGGTGGCGATGAAAAAGAAGAAGGTGATGATGACGATGATGATGAAGACAATGAGGAACCATTTGAACCAGTGCATAGGCTCCAGCATCAGGGCCCATGTCAACACAAAATGAACTCAACCCCGGGCCAAAATATTACGGCAATGGACACTTGGAACGAGTTATTTGATGTTCCAAAAGGCATGTTCGTCGTTCGGACGGGCGGTAACTGGGTGCCAAAGCTAGCAGCGACCCTAGTGGCATACCAGTCTATGGCTCAGGTCTCATCTACGTTTGCTGTAACAGTATGCCCGCCTCAAGTTTGTTGGGTTTGCGTCCAAAAGAAAGCCCATCACCAAGCCTTTATATTTTGAACAGGAGTTGGCCGCAGCTTCGAAAAGAATGGGTGGGAGAGTAGACCACAACCTCTTTTGAAGGCTACAAATAGATTTTCAATACATCAAAATAACAACATCTTTCTAAGACCTATTAACTAACGCAAAAACACGCCTGCATCGCCGTATCCAGCACGTCAATCTTTCAAATTCTTGGGAAAATACATTCCCTCACGAGATACGGGCAAACATCAGCTGCTCCACCCCCCTCGTCACGGCTACAACTTTTTCCACGATCAAAACCTACCCAGTCCAATACTTCTCACAAGTCCCAAACTTCGCATTCTGATTGAGATAGCCAGATTGGAACCAAGAAATTGAGAATCTAACCTGGCCCTCGCCCACTCACTATCTTGGTAACATTGTAGCACATGATGCTTCAAGAATGTGAAACTTTGCGGGCGTCAAAGAAACCGTCATGGAAAGATACCAGGTGGCGTTCGAAACGGATGATGGAGGATGAACTTTGCCCGCCCGTAGTCTTCAACGTCCTCTCTGGCATAACGCGGAAAGTAGTTGATGATGCGGCTTTTTGCTCGACTGCGGACGTTGTACGGCGCACAATGCGCATGTGAGCACGGGAAGGTAAAGTAGCTCATATCTTCGAGATCTGCTGGTCGCTGCTAATAGTGATCTAAGACGGAAAGACCCCGGCGAGCCTCTCCTCTCTCGACCCAGTAGTGATGGGTATGCTCGTCGGAGTGACGAAAATCTACCGTGATGGATTACCGCGAGCCTTGGGAGAGGCTCAAGTTGAGCAGCATATGGCACCACTCTTGCGCAGAGTAATCCCGTTCACCAATGAGCCTGTTCATCAACTTGGTAATATGGCCGAGCATCGTTGACCGTCAGGATAACGGTTTGTGCCATTTCGCAGTACGACATCGTCGCCTTTTCCCCGTTTTGCGGCATACTTGACAATGTACTCAATCATAGCTACCATACTAGTACAGGGAGTGATGTTTATGTTGGCCTGCCATGCCATAGACGTCAAGTGGTCGTACTTGTCGATCTATCCATCATTTTGCATGGGGAAAAACTGGATATACAAACGCGACGGGTGCTTATTCACCTTGGCTTCATCACGATGCTCGTCGGGCAGTAAAAACTAACATTCTTTCAGGTTGATTGCTTTGTTCTTGCGGAGACAGTACTCCTTGGTGGAGACATGGCCTTGCACACAGTTGATAGTCGACGACAGTGTTAGCCCAGTGTTTTCCAACTCGACGCCTGGTATCCGGTTAGTCGAGTCCTCGGTCGCTGGTTGAGAACCAGCGTGTTGCTCTGTGTTAAAAGCAGTGATGTGTGTTCCTCAAAATCCAGCAAAAGCCCTCCTTGCGGCATCGCTAATGTCAAGCTCTTCAACACCAACTTCGAGTTTTTCAGAATAGGTGTAATTTTAGCGAAATATATACAAATCCATCCCAAAAAATCGATTATAACTAGGGCCAAGTCGT